ATAAGTTAGTGTGATTTTCACAGGCTTGTATATGCGAAGCAAAGTGAGTTATTTAGCAATTGCTACTCCCTTAAGATTAATGGCATTATAGTGTTACGCTCAGTTCGAAGTTAGGTTGACTGACTAATTTGAGTATGTACAAGGGGGTGGGAGCGACGACTGAATAATTTACTCAAGTGGGTTTCACTGGGGTTTAAAGGTCTCCTGTGCTAATCTTTCACGGAGATTGAGCAATTAAGGGCAAGAAAATAACAATTTATTTTCAAAGAAACGAGTTCTACTAACACGATTGGAAAATATTTAACACAAATAACAAATTCTATTGCTTTTCTTCAGCAATAATAGGTTTCCGCGAAATTATAAAAATCGATTTCCAAAAGAAGGAACAAAAAAGAAATAATGATAATATCAGCATCAACGGGATAACATCAAAGTAATAATATCAATGTTTAAGGAATCAGCTCGTCAACTTTGTATGGCCAAAGTAGCAAAGCATTCTATTTGATTAGCACAATTAGAATTAAAGCTATCGATTTCGTTTTGGCACAAAAGAAATAAAAGCCGAAGCAAAAGGTAAGCTAAGTTTCAAAATTAGATTCAATATTTATTTTTCCTGGGTCCAACTTCCCGACACCAACATCCCGACATCCCGACACTCAACTTCCCGAAATTCCAACTTCCCGACAAAGCCATTATAGGGATCGACAACTAGCATTTATTAACATTTAGACATCAACGCGATAAATAATTCTTGGTAATTGCGCAACTTTATTTTTAATTCGTTAATAACTGATTTATCATAAAAGGAGAACGGTTAAAGCGTAGTCCATCGTTTGATCAATCCCCTTAAATTTTCAGAGTTTACTTTTAATGTTTTTTTATGATTTATAAGGTCTAGGTAAGGGTAACGGTTAGGGCAGAGGGCAAGATTATATGTAAAATTGCAATCTCGACAGTTTTAATTAATATTCCAAGACAGATTTAGGCATTGGTTTTCGATTAATATTCATTTTTCATATTTTGTGTCGGATTGTTTTGCGCATTTGCCCATCTCTAGTTATTAATGATTTTGGAAGCAGATATAGAAAATCTATCAAGAAATTTATGGGGCAGTTCTTTATGAGTTCAAGACGCTAAATGGAAAGCCATTGCAGGCGTAATGCTTGGTTCCTGATCACGCGTACTTTACAGACCAATAAATTTTTTAAAACAAGAAACAAAAAAGACATAAATACGGGAAAGAGATATCAAAAAATATCTGTAAAATAATTTCACATTTATCGTTTTCACAGTTCAAAACTTAAGATAAAATCTCCTTTTAATAGTTGCCGGCTCACATATTATTTACGCATTCTTCTTGGATAATTATCATGTGATCAGAACAGAGAACAAAAGTTATATGAAAGATACGAAAAATAGAATGTATTTGCAATCATTAGATACCTAAACTGTGGCTTAAACCAAATTTGAACTGACTTAAGTTGCGGTTTCGCTCTTGAGACGCAGCGCCATGGTCCAATACCCGACTATAATTTGCTCGCATTGTTGCAGAATTTTCGTAATCACGGGATTTTTCGTTGAATAACAAATGCTGTTACCGTGCTGTGGTAACTTGATCTCACCTATTCTTCAGCAAGCCACGATCTGCGACAATGTGTGATAATTTAATAACTTGCCTTTTTGCGTAAAATGCATCCCCTTTATACTATGATTAGTACTATTGTTGTCGTCGCAACGCGAAATCCCCGTGTTCACAAATATTTCGAAACACCATTCTCTTGTGTCTCCTTAGATCCTACGTAACGAAACCTAAATTCAAGTTGGCCCGAAGCGTGTATACACAAATCCCAGAAATTCCTACCTCGTAACATCAACATTAATGCGATCCCAGAATTCCTATAAAATTTCTTACCTTGTAGTACCAGTACTAACGCCATTTACCTAAAAGTAAGGAGTAATTCATCAAAAATTCTTACCTTGCGCGCCTCAAGATGTTCCTCGTAGGATCCCGTCAACCATCTTTATTTTGTCCCGTATTGCGTAATCCATGATTAATTTCTTTTTTAGTATAATACTTTTATCATGAATAATAACAAATAATACTTTGTAGCCATTTTACATAAACATTTTATTTTATTATTTAGTATAACGAATCATACTTTAGATAGATAGTTATATAATAACAAAAGTTGTACATATAGGATAGCTATCGAGATGTTGTAAAGTAGACAAAATCCAACATCCCGACAACCCAACATCCCGACACTCCAGCATCCCGACAAAGCCAACATCCCGACAAAAGCCAATAATTGATAGAGAGGGAAGCAATATAAATGTCATTAATGATCGAGCAAATCGTTTAGTGTTAGATTTTCTTCGTGGAATTGTGCATAATCTTTCTTTGTAATGATATGTGTTGCTTTTATTTTTTTATACAAGATTTACGTTCAATTTCCTTAACTTTTTATTATATCGATATGTAATTAAGATTTTTACGTTCAATTCCCTTTTATGGGGATCGATTAAAGCGTAGTCCATCATGTGATCCATGTCCAATAGGGTCGCAAATTTTTTTGATCAACCCGGCAAAACAAATCCGACACAAGATATGAAAAATGAATATTACTCATCGAAAACCAATGCCTAAATCTGTCTTGGAATATTAATTAAAATTGTCGGAACTGCAATTTTACATATAATCTTCTCTGCCCTAACCGTTACCCTTACCCAGACCTTATAAATTATAAAAATCATTAAAAGTAAACTCTGAAAATTTAAGGGGATTGATCACATGATGGACTACGCTTTAACCGTTCTCCATATAGTAATCAAATACGCGAAGTGAACTTAGATGATTTTATTTTCTATAACTATTATCAATAATTATCACTATCACTTGATGTTTCTAATATATCATCACTATTATCATATTAAATTGTTCATTATCATTACCATCCTGATATTCACTTTCATTATTATCCTGATATTCGCTTTCATCACTCTCAGCATAATATTGGTTGACACTTATTTCATCATTAATGCTTTTTTTGACCATTTTTTTGATTATCTTGTAATTTACTACTTAACGTTAACAGATTTCTTTTTTTGTTATGAAGATTTGCAAAAGCTGACCAGTTACGTTCAGAAGCTGCAGATGATGTTGGAATTGTTAAGATAAGTTGTGCTGATTGCGTTAATTCAGGCACTGCTTGTGAGAAATTCGCAATCCACAAAGTAATTGGATCAATATTATCAATGCACCTCCATGCTAATGTATTACTTAAAAGATCTGATCTTGCTTTGCATTGCATAAGTTGACTTCCAGGCGAATTGGCATTGAGTGAACTTGTATTAGCAATTTCTGGATTTTCAAAGCTCATACCAAAAAATGATCGATGAGGCATTTGGACATACGCGCAGATGTGACTTACACCGAATTACTGAATTATTGCATTGATATTTGGGATTTTCACAGTATTTACATTCTGCACGCTGTTGTCGAAATCCAATTCTTCAGCACCGTTACTGAGCTGATTTGAGGGTTAGTTATAAAATTAACAAAATTTGCAGCAATTTTCACACGACGTATCTTTGACCTGAAAAAATTCATAGACGGATTTGTGTATTGTGATTTTCATTTTAAAATTACAAAGTACGTTATCATGCGTGAAGCCGATTTCAAAAATTAGGTTTTAGTAAAGAGCGGCAAATATTCTCGTCTCTCTATCAAAACTCCCCGGAAGACGCGTAATAGAAAATATCCTATTAGGAAGATGGCATTCATTATTATACCAAATGATTTCTACCTGAAGAAATAAATAAAATTGCAGTTTATTCACATCTCAATTTATTACGAAAAGAGTTGCGCAAACTTGGGGCCGATACCTTACCATTGAAGCAAAAAGATACCTTTTATACCGAAAAAATCAAATCCAAAGCAACGTATACTTTTGTGAAATTAATGGTTTCGATTGGCCCGGGCTCAAATTTTTTACTTGGAAAGCGTTCAGGAACGACTTAATAAAATGCAATATTATCACTTCCCCTTCTATACAAATCTAATTGAAAAAATGATAGTATGCATGTGAGCAGAAGTAGAAATATTACGTATTAATCTATACAGACCAAGACGTGAAAAATAGCATGATCCTAAATGAGTTGGAGACTCTGGGCTTTGCCTCTTCTTGGTTATACGAAAAATAATAGGCTGAACCAGGAAATCCTTTCGTTGGAAAAGGATCCAGAAAGAACAAAACGAATACTTATCTGGATTCAACAAGTAATACCCGATAAATTTCCTTTTTTACTAAAAAAAAAAAATAAGGATGGCATTACTAAAATTAAGCCAATTAATTAATTTTTCAGCGCGACATAAAATTACTTCATTTTATTAAGGAAGATATGAGCTGAACACGCTTCCAGAGTACATAGAGGCAAGAATGATTCTCGACGACAATAACTTCGACGATTAACCTGCAGGGCATACTTCGTCAGTTGAGCATTATGGTGTGAATCTTTTAATGCCTACAGTAGAAGGTAATGAAATAGAAGGTATTATTGATCTATATATTAATGCATGAAGTGTAATTTCTCCTTTCCTCACTGATTTTACAAGATCGTATGATTCATTTTTTACTGCCTAGTAACATTTGGAATCGACTGATAAATTCCTAAGTACAATATCATCGATCTCGATTTACTTATATTTGGATCATTATCGAATGCACGGAGTGCACTTTCTACAAAAAATAAAATTTTTATAGTTAAATACATCCTTAAGTAAAGTTGAATAAATTTTCATTAAATACATGTAGTGTAAATTATAATTTTAGATTTATTATAATTAGATCTATATTTAAATCAAATTTTTTATTAATAAAATAAAATAAATATAAATTTGTAATCAATTAAGAATAGAATTTTTTAAAAAATTTTTATCTCAATTATAAATCACAATCAGTTCAAACGAATTTTTAATTCCGCTTTGTACTGTAATGAACTTAAGGAGATGGTGCAGTTAATAAAGCTACGCAACTTGCCATACAGACACCTTGAGCGACATTACAAGCTACAGCTGCGGGTAGTGCAGCCAAATCTCCGGTAGCACCTATTAAAAGATTAATGATTTAATGAAAAAGAATATTTTACATATATATAAAATCAAGAATATATATTCATAAAATTGGTATTTCGCACATACCAGCAACTAAATCGGCAGAGCTGTAACAAGAGACCCATCCACGATTACAGGCAGTTTGGCAAGCTGCATACGCCAAAGGCCCAGCGTAAGTACTATGAATGGCACAAAGGATAACGAGTAAAGCGAAGAATATGGAATTCATTGTGGTTAAAGATGGAAAACTACAATAGATTATTTTATTGTTATCTTTTGTATTTTTAGGCGTTTGTTTTTTTAATGTTATTAGTTGTTTGATTTACGCTTGAGAACTATTTCAGTATTTATAAAAACACATTGTTTGTTTTTCGATTTCTGCGTTCTATAATACGTGCATGTGTACTATACTTTATTTTAAATGTTTCACATGCTCCCCAGCCTTTAGTTAACTCCTCACATTCACAATGGCAGAACAGGAGGAATTGTACCTATTTTTAGAAAATGTTACACAATTGAAGAAAGAATTTTTTTATACGTTTTACAATACTTTTTTAAAGAATCTTGCATCGTTCAGTCACATATGAAATATACATGAGATCACTAAGCATAATTAAAGCTTTTATACTGTAAAATAGTATTATTCACTGAATCCACTTGAGTCCAACATGTCTGAGAAGAAAATATGCTTCGAATGCAAAGTTGAAGAATTAACTAGATTTCGATCACTAAATGGAAACAAATGGAGAGAAGTTAAAAGTAACAATCTAGCAAAGGTAACGTGGAAAGAAGGTATTGTTTTATGTAATTCTTGTTATATGCATTTTGTAGAAAATCCATTAAGAAGAGGTTTTAAGCGAACAAGAACTACATTATCAGAGGAAGTGAAAGATGATATTCACTTTTTTCAGGATACAGACAAGATAAGTATGTCTAATAAAAAGCCTGAACTTTCTGAGGCTATCAAGATGATGGCAAAGATTCTTTATGAAAGAGAACATATAAAAAAAGAAAGTACTATTTATGCATTTGAAGAAATGCGAAAAATTTTAGAAGAACATGAACCAACACTCAAATATTTTTTTGAGCAACTTTATTTAGTAACTTGGCCATCTACACGCAATGAACAAACAATGAGTCGTATGAAAAGAATAATCATATTCATTTGTTATTTACTTGCTTCTTTAAATAATACAAAGATTAACTCCTTTAAATTTGATCTTGCATATTATCTAGATTCAGCAGGAACAAGTAATGAAGGTTTGAATACAATGGCAAATCTTGGTATAACTACAACATCAAAAGCAGTAAATCAACGAAAAAGAAAAATGTCTGATATTCATAGAAAATATGTGGAAAATGCACTTGTTCAGCAATCAGAGAATGTACTTGTGCTTAACGTTGATGACTATCATAATATTCATGTTCCGCAAAAATCCAATACCACAATTACTTCCAGACTAATACACATGACAACAATTTTAGTCAACCCGTGTTTAATACCAGCAATACCATCTAATAGGGCAATTAATCGTTTTTTGATAGTAATTTGATTATAAAACATCTTGATTTATCGTAAATCTTGGTGTTTTATATCATGATCGTATACGAAGCACAGAAAGAGCATCTACTTCTGAAGAGATAATAGACAGATTAGTAATACACAGCTATAATGATAGACTTGAAGAGAAAAAAAAGGACCGGCATATTCACAACTCTATTCTCATTGATTTCGTTGAAAGAGACTTGAAAAATATTGAGGGATATATTGATGCTCTTCAAATTGTATATAATTAAGAGTCAGCACAAACATACCTTTCTAATTATGCAATGCCCATTGTTACAGACTGGCCAGGCCAGTTTTTCATTCGAAAGGCTATTGCACAACGGCTTCTTCTTAATAATGAAAGCATTCCTCAATTTATCACGTCATTTTTGCCTATTATGGGACCTCTTCATGTGTCTTTAAATGCACGTGAATTTGTTTACTTGAAAAATTCATTTTTATTTAATAATGTTTACAAGCGAATATTTGGACCAAAAAAAAATCTTGGTAAGAAGCCACGGCCATGGAGAATCAAATTAATTCTTCATATTGTACGCATGGCATGGTCTATCATCACTAGTACAGTTTATTCAAAATTTGGTTTTACATGTAAAAATATTGAATTTTTATATCTAACCGATTTATTAAGTAATTTAGTTCTATTAGTTCTTGACATTTATTCTATACACCATCGAGAAGGAGATTGGCCAGCCTATGAGGAAGGATGTATGCGCTGTTGGAGTGATCTTTTTCTTCGATTTGATCGAAGAAATTATAAGCGTGCTCCATTAATATTTTTCTCTGATGTTTTTTATTGGATGAAAACCGGTCATCCAATATTTAACATGATTACTAATCATCTAGCTTCTCTTAGTAATTATCCAGTTGAAAATGCTCACAGTATTGTCCGAAGACGTACTACCAAATTTCTTACGGTCGAACAATTACGGAAAGATGCACACTTTATTTTCCAGCAACGTCATGATAATACATTTCAACAAAATTTTGTACATTCAGTGAAGTATCCATATACTCCGAAACAATTGGATATGCTTTCTCAAAAATGTTCCATATGGCTTTTAGAAATATTTGCAAAGATATATCAGAATCGTGATCAGCAACCTATTGTTAAATCCTCAGCTGATGATATCAATACATACAAGCTACCCTCATTGGGCTACGAAGTGACAGATCGTCATCTTCCAAGAGGTTTTGTTACTTCTAAAAAGCCAAATGTGTTTGTTTTATGTGATTCGATTTATTGTGACAGAACTTACGATCTACATAATGGCAACGTTTTGGCGTGTGGGCATGGTTATCATAATTATTGCTTACAAAAATCTCAATTTAAATGTTTTATATGTTTAGGTTATCTTGAAGGCGAGATTAAAAAAAATATTGACGCATTAACAGTAAGTATGACTAATAAATTAGTTGTAAATGAATTAATTGGCAGAAATAGTGAAAATACGGCTGACGATGATGGTGATGACATGGGAAATGTCGAAGAAGCAACAGGTAATGCGATAGAAGTAGAAAATTTATTAAATCACGCGAAAATAACATTTCTGGAGTTGTAAAATTTACAATAAATTTAAATTATCGAAATTATCGTTATCGTTATTACAACAAATTAGTATAATTTTGATTGGTTAATTTACATGTGATACATATTGATATATGGCTGGCTCTACGGGCATTTTTCGAAGTTACGGTAAACAGAATACTTACAATCTATTTCTGTTGTTGCCGTTGTTTCATTCGGATGATATTCTGTTTTTCCTCGTTTGAAGCATAAATAAATTTATTAATATCGATTTTAATAAATTTTCAAACTCCTGAAATATCACGTGAATTATTTTTGATTGGCTGAATTTCATCATTCAAATGATTTTTGGAAATAACCCCTTTTTAGAAATGTTGTTCCTTCAAAAAATTCAGCAGTACTGTACATGTATTGGATGTTAAGTTGCATGAAATTTAAAATCGTTTGCGGCCTGTCAAAAAAGCAACCGTAATGTGATTATAAAGAACCATTGTTCACATGATTTAAGTCACGGAGAATTGTTTATTGCTATTAATGTTACAGGAATTCTGTAACAGATAATTTTAGGAAAGATTATAGATTAATGTGGCGCGTTAGGTCTAATACCTAAGCCGGTATCGTTGTCGGGGTTGATTTTAGGATTTAAATAGGAGGAATCTTAACAGGATGCGGGTAGTTACGATTAGCACAAATCTCTTATTTAATTATTGTTTATTTTATATTTTTAAGTGAACCTACAAAAAAAAGCTATTCGAAACAATGCTTTTTATAAGTAAAAGCCTTAAAATCTAATATATGCCTTTTCTGGATCGAGAACCAAATAATTAATCGATTTTCACAGGATAGTGGATCAAAGGAGAGTCAATTATAAGGATTAGAGTTTTTTGCACACTTCATTTAACTATTCATTAAACTATTGTCCGGAGCGTAAGCGAAGGACTATATATTATTCTGCAATATGTGAAAAATTGATTGTCACGTGGGGTTTCCGGTTGTAACGACACGTGACTGGTTATAAATAAATAAACCAATTAAAAAATATATCGTTCCGAACTTAGTTATTAGAGAAAATTTTATGAAGGAAAAATTATTGGAAAAATTATTAGACAAAATTTCCTTCTTTGAGAATTAGTCAAAATAGGTTGCGAGAAGTTACATAAATAATACATTTAATTGTTATTAAAGCAATTTAGTCTCCTTAACAAAAATTATATTCATACGGCATATTTTCATAGAACAATCCTATCAATCATAATATAGTAATTTATTATACACATCCCTAATATAAATTATATGTCTAAAGAAAAAATCTCTTTTATTCTCTTTTCGGGTAATAAATGATTATTGAATTTATTTATAAAAAAACTATCTGATGTAATCGGCACTCTTCCTGTACAAGTGGTTCAAAAATATTAACCGCGCTGAAGATTTCTTGCATAACTGTATATGATATTATGAAACGTTATAAAATGTGCAGAACTCCTGGAAAATATCTTTCACAGTGTATTGTTTTGGAACAGATTTTTATCACTTGAAAAATCGCATCTTAATATCATATTTCGCGAAAAACGACCATGGGCATTATTTCGAAAATCGTATCCTTTAAAATAGCATACCTGGTTTCAAAATAACACCCATGGACGTCTCGAAATAACGCGCACCCACATAATATTGAAAACTTGATAAATTTTTTAAATATAAATCCGATCTCAGCACAATCTCGAACGCTTTTTTGATTTGTCATTCTTGAATCCATTTCCAGTCAATTTTGTGAGTTGCCCCTTCATATAAATGACCTCAAGTTTAAACGCGATAGTGTAACTTTGTTTTATGTTCAAGTTTACTTGTAAAACTTGCACGCGAAATAAACAAAAAATAACGATCACAGGCTCGAAATGTAAAGCAAAACAAAATATATAAATACGAGTAAAAAATAAAAAAATTAAAAACGCTAATACTTTCAAAAAGTTAGTATACATGTGTTTAGATGTTTTATCATTGATGTCCATAGATGTGCAACTCCTATGGGAATTTTCGAAAATCAGGTTTAACAGAAAATTGACCCTTTGTCTCAAAATAACGCGCAGGTAGCGTTATTCGCGAAAATACGGTACTACTTTTATCCCAGTACTAAATG